ATTGTATTCTGCCTGGACAGCACGCGAGATGTGCCCAAAGAGCGTTCCCTTCTCAAGCTTTGAGCTGTGTTGGCTGCAGTAGCTCTTTTCATTTTGCCAAAAACCTTAAAATGTAGGGCCCCTGAACCTGTCGAACGCTTCCAGGAGAAGAGGAGGCGGTGGGAAAGCCAACAAGGACGGAGCCGAAGAGTGTTTTTTTTTGGAAAACACTCAACCTGGACTGTCAACCCTCGACCCCAAACCCTAAACCCCCTCAACCCCGAACCCCAAACCCTAAACTCTCTACACCCTAAGCCCTAAGCCGTAAGCCTTAGGGGCTGGCCTAGTATAGGCCTAGGCACCCTAAACTACCCGAAACCTTAAACCTGAAGCCCTAAACCCCTGGGCCTAAACACCAAAGCCTAGACCCTCAACCCTGAACCCTAAACCCTAAACCCTACATCCTAAACCCTAAACCCTAAACCCTAAACCCTAAGCCCTAAGCCCTAAGCCCTAAGCCCTAAGCCCTAAGCCCCAAGCCCCAAGCCCCAAGCCCCAAGCCCCAAGCCCCAAGCCCCAAGCCCTAAACCAACCAAACCCTAAGCCCGAAACCCGAAACCCTAAACCCTAAAGCCTAAAGCCCTAAACCCTAAACCCTAAACCCTAAACCCTAAACTGAAACCCTAAAGCAGGCTGTGTAGCCCTAGGACAATGGGTTGTAAAGCCCTAGGTCGAGTTGTATAGTCCTAGGCGGCCTAAACTACCCGAAGCCTTAAACCTTAAACCTTAAACCCTAAACTCTAAACCCTAAACTCTAAACCCTAAACTCTAAACCCTAAACCCTCAACCTTAAACCCTAAACCCTAAACCCCAAACCCTAAACCCTAAACCCTAAATCCTAAACCCTAAACCCTAAACCCTAAACCCTAAAACCTAAACCCTAAACCCTAAAGTGCAGCCCTAGGACAGTGAGCTGTAAAGCCCAGGACAAAGGTGTAACTTTTGTCGGGTACCCGACGGGGTACCCGCATGGCTCCCCAGAATTTAAGCCTAAACCCTAAGCTCTAAACCCTAACACCAAAACCTCCTGAGATGCATTTTGCATGTTACGATACTTGTGCCTGAATCCTTGAACGTTTAAAGCATCACCATGAGTCTCGTATCACACCTTAGGGTTTAGGTGTAACTTAAAACGCCAAGTGGCTGATGAACTCTTCAAACCCTAAACCCTAAACCGGGCTGTGTAGCCCTAGGACAATGGGCTGTAAAGCCCTAGAACAATGGGCTGTAAAGCCCTAGGTCGGGCTGTATAGCCCTAGGCTAAGTTTGGCCTGAGCCCCAAACCTAATCTCAAACACTAAACCCTTTAGACCCTAAACCCTAAACCGGGCAGTGTAGCCCTAAAACAATGGGCTGTAAAGCCCTAGGCCGGGCTGTATAGTCCTAGGCTAATTTTGGCCTCAACCTCAAACCTAACCTCAAACACTAAACCCTTCAAATCCTAAACCCTAAACCGGGCTGTGTAGCCCTAGGACAATGGGCTGTAAAGCCCTAGAACAATGGGCTGTAAAGCCCTAGGTCGGGCTGTATAGCCCTAGGCTAATTTTGGACTGCGTCATGGGCTGTGAACCCCTAGGCTGGGCTGTGTAGCACTAGGCCAATTTCGGGTTGTCTAGCCCTAGGGTCATGGGCTGTGAAGCCCTAGGTATGTAGCCCTATGTTGTTAGCCCTGAAACACTTCCTGTACCTCAGGCGCTGCAACCTCATTATTGTGGACTTGACGCAGACGCAGGACCTTGTGTTTCTTCAGTTGGGGGTTTGGGAACCCTTTGGTGAACACCTAGGCGGCTGTGTAGTCCTAGGGCAGTCTAGCCATAGGGTCATAGGCTGCGAAGCCTTAAATTAAAATTAGCCCCGAGGGTCATAAACCCTGAAACAGTTCCTGCGCCTCAGGCTTGTAACCTCATACACCCCAGATCTTAAGTGTTTCATTTGTGAAGGCCTTCGGGCTCGAGACAGGGCAGTTGCTGGGTTTCATGTTTCTAGCATATATCACCTTCTTAAATTCTTGCTTCTAAGCCAAAGTAGACGCCAGACTTGGCCTGGCCTGAATCCCTAGGGATTGGTGCCAGATTTATATTGCTAGAATTGGACCCTTAAGCCCCACATCATGGCTGCCGACACGCACTCGAAACGACTGTGTCTCGGTGGCACCATGGCTACGGTGGAGGTCAGTTTGCTGAGTGGCAGGTCGGTGCGTTTGGAGGCCAACCTGGCGGTGACTGTCGGTGCGTTCCGGGATCGCTCCCGGCACGCGTTGGCAGCTGAGCGGGGTCGCCTTCTTTTTCAAGGCAGTTATTTGATGTCCACACATACACTGGCCGAAGCCGGCATCAGCGATGGCTCCCAGCTGCAACTGGTGGCTATGCCCGTGCAGGTCGTGGGTGCTGAAAAAGCATTTGCCGCCATTCGGGGCGATGGGTCCGTGGTTGCCTGGGGTGATCCTGAAAATGGTGGCGACGCCAGTGCTGTACAAGATCAGCTCCAGGATGTTGTGCAGGTGCAGAACACAAGCTATGCTTTTGCTGCCCTTCGGAGTGATGGATCTGTGGTGACGTGGGGTGACCCCGAATCTGGTGCCGACAGCAGCTTTGTGCAACATGAGCTGCACGATGTCAGATGCATCCAGGGTGGTGTCACCGTTTTTGTGGCAATTCGCACCGATGGGACAGCTGTGACCTGGGGTGAAGGTGCCTTTGGTGGTGACAGCAGAGGCGTTCGAGATGCGCTGACGGATGTCCTTCACGTCCAGATAAACCAAGGATCATGCTGTGGGGTTGCCGCAATCTCGAATGATGATGGAGGCAGCATTGCGGCGTGGGGCGATCCCATTAATTTCGGCCAGATTGCCACTCCACACAGGCCAATTGCGCTGCAATGTACCGACGAAGCCTTCGCTGCCATCTTGGCCGACGGTTCCGTCATGACTTTCGGCCGTGATTATTTTGGTGGGGACAGCTCCTTGGCTTTCTTCTGGCTGGCTCTTACAACTTTAACCTTTTGTGCTTTTGTACAAACTATTATAATAAATAGCCTAAAAGTTATTTTTCAGGAGTGTTCGAACGTCAGCCTCTTTAGAGGAGTACTTGTCTAACCCTAGCTACCCCCTTTGGCCACTCCCTCAACCCCAAAACCTGGACCCCTCCCCGGACCCTGCGCCCTCAACCCTAGGCAGTGCAGTTCAAGACCAACTACATGACGTGAGGGTTATCAGTGCCACAGGAAGCGCCTTCGCAGCTATTCGGCAGGATGGCTCTGTGGTGACCTGGGGTGGTGATCTTGGGGGTGGCAACTGCAATGACGTGCGTGCTCAGCTGGTGGACGTGCAGCAGATCCAAGCCACCAAAGGTGCTTTTGCTGCTATCTTGGCAGACGGCTCTGTTGTGACCTGGGGCAATCCAACAACAGGCGGCACCTGCACCCATGTGCAAAGCCAACTGAGACGTGTGTCGCAGATCCAAGTAACCGACAGAGCTTTTGCAGCTATCACGGAAGATGGCTCCTTTGTGACCTGGGGTGATGCGCGCTATGGAGGTGACAGGGCCTATGGAGCTACCAAACCGGTGGAACCACTTCAGGGCGTGCAAGCAATGCATGCAAATCATTTTGCTTTTGCAGCACTGCTCGACAATGGCGGGGTGGTGGCTTGGGGAGCACCACATGCCGGTGGTGAAACTGCTGCTGTGCTGGGCCTCTTGAAGAACGTCCGACAGATTGCAGCCTCTCACATGGCTTTTGCTGCCATCCTGCAAGATGGATCCGTTGTCAGCTGGGGCGATGAGAACCATGGCGGTGGGTTTCACCAAGACCTTAGCCAATGAGCTTCTAGGTACCAGGTAGGCCCTTGGGGAATTATGTTGTTCACTTACTGGGCAGAAAAGGATCGTATTCGGGCTGAGGGGTTGAGGGCGTTCAAGTTCAGGGCGGTCGAGGAATTTTGGCTTGAGGCTTCGCGGAATTTACGCTTTGTGCTTAGGAGTCTAAGGTCTCGCTTCTGGAGCCTAAACCCTATAGCCTTCAACCCTAGAAGCCCAACAACGCCATGATCCCTACCCTAAACCCTCAACCCTGAGTTAAGTCCCACACCGAGGAATTTAGGGTTTATGAGTTCAGGGTCTCACATCTGAAGCCCAGAACCCTGGAACCCCTGCACTCTAAACCCCGAACCCTGAATTCACCCTAATTCCTAAGTCCCACGCCCTAAGTCCTATAACCTAAGTCCTAAGCCCCTCCCTATCCCTCCCCGCCCGTCCGGCAGGACCAGACGACACTTCAGCTCCAGGTTCGGCCGGCGGCAGGTTCGGCTATTACCCCAAGCTCCCAACCCCCGGAACTCCTAAAGGCTTGTTCTTGGCTCAAAATATGTTAATCGTTGGCACCACTTGGAGCAAAATGTTTTTTGGCTGGCAGTTCTTGGTTCAAAACTATTTTGATTTGTTGGCACTACTTATAGCAAAACATCTTAATTTAGTTTTTTTGCACACACACATTCTTCCAAACATACTATTTACATACCATACAACATGGCACAGGCACAGACCCTGCAAAGGTCACCTTTCTGTAGGGTCACCTTTGGTAGTCTCCGATAAACCCATCAACAACTACCCTAAAAGCGCAAGGGTGTGGGGGGGGGGGGGGGGGGGGGGGTTAGGTTTAGGGGTCAGGTTTAGGCTTTAGGCTTTAGGCTTTGGGGTTTGGGGTTTGGGTTTAGGGTTTAGGGTTTTTTTTTTGGGGGGGGGGGGGTCAAATTCGGGTTTCGGGGCTCAGGTTCGGGGGGATCTAGACCAAGACCCAGGTGCACCACCTGGAATTTGGCAAGAGGACCTCCCCCCAAGAAAAGAAGAAGAAAGAATTCTGAAAAAACACTTTCCCAATAGAAGAACTGCATTTCTTGCATTCCCGATTGTAGTCCTAGATACGTAGAGAGTTCAACACCCGAGTTCTGTAAGACGATGTGCCAGGCAGTTTTCTGGACGTCTACCGTGACCACCACCACGACCACAACGGCCGGAGGGCCTACTGCTAAAAAGCGCTTCGTAGATCATCTTACTTCTCGCTGCTCTAGCCACTGCGTGATAGGAACGCCTCCCCCTAAACCGTAAACCCTACACCCCCTAAACCCCAAGCCCCACGCCCCAAGCCCCAAGCCCCCAAGCCCCGAAACCCTGGTTTAGGATTCACGGCGCCAAACATTCCAAACCCTGAGACCAGCACTGGCCCAAGGGAAACATGGGCTGAGGGTTGAGGGTTTAAAGTCCGGCCATGGGGTTTCAAGGGTTTTTTCTTACCTTGGACCCTTGAGGGGGTACCCTTGAGTTTCGGGGCCATTCTTTAAGATTCCTAAGGTAGTATAAGAGGGCCATATTCGGAGTATATGAAGGGACAACGTTAGAGGTACAACCTAAGGGGTCCGAGTCTGCATATTTTGAGGGATTTTGCACATCTTCACTTCTGTGGACTTAAGTGGATCATACTTAGGAATTTTCTCAGAAGAGGTTTAAGGGGTCATTTCTCAAAATGATGGTCCCCTTGTTGGGTACCCTAAATATTTGAGACCGCCTCATAATCTAGTTCTCAAAGGGGTCTTAATTTAGAGAAGTGACCCGTGGGCCTTCCTCGATGGTTTAGGTGAGAGTCGGATGCTTGGGGGCTTGTTAGAGGGTTTAGGGCTTAGGGCTTAGGGCTTAGGGTTTAGGGTTTGGGGTTTAGGGTTTAGGGCTTAGGGTTTAGGGTTTAGGGTTTAGGGTTTGGGGTTTAGGGTTTAGGGTTTAGGGTTTAGGGTGTCCTGCCAGACTTCGACCACGACCACGACAACCACTCTGACGAGCACATCTTCCGTCACGGCCGGGGGGGGGGGGGGGGGGGCGGGGGCAAATTTAGCACATGCCCATCCTCAAAAGAAGGCACCTGTAGCCCTAAACCCTAAACCCTAAACCCTAAACCCCAAACCCCAAACCCTAAACCCTAAACCTTGTTGAGTTCAGCTGGCTTGTTATTCTTTGGAAGGCCACCAACACATCTACCTCAACTTCGACCCCTGTGCCCACGACGAACACAACCACCACAGTAACCACCAGCACATTCACGACTACGACCGAGACCACGACCACTTCCACAACCACCTCCGTGACCAACACCACCACGACGGAGACCACCACCACCAGCACGACCACCACCGTGACCTCGCGGAAGAAGAGCAGCCAGCCACACAAGAGGCACAGGACCACCACAAAGAAGCCGCACAGCCACAGGCACCACAAGAAGGCTAGGCACAAGCGCACAACCAAGACAACCACGAAGATGAAGACCACGACGACTCTTAGGGATGCTTGGGAATATTTTAATATTGTGGTACTATAATTCCTAAGAAACAGCCAACAAATGTGAATGTTTTTGCTAGGGTTCCAAGTTCAGTTAAGGACCACCACGGCCTCCACGACGACCACGGAGGCAACCACCACCACCACCACCAAGACGACGACCACCACGACGAAAGCCAGCCGGCTGATTTAGGGTTTAGGGTTTAGGGTTTAGGGTTTAGGGTTTGGGGTTTGGGGTTTGGGGTTTGGGGTTTGGGGCTTAGGGTGCTTTCCTTGAGAACTCATGTTCCGGGGTGTCTCCGATCTTTGGCTTTTGCGGTTTAGGGTTTAGGGTTTAGGGTTTAGGGTTTCTACTCCCCAGCCAAAGTTCTGAACTGCGAAGGCTGCTTTATGGGTTCAGGGTTCAGAGGTTAGGGCTCACCCTAAACCCTAAACCTTAACCCTAAACCGTAAACCCTAAACCCTAAACCCTAAACCGGACCACAAGAAGGTCTGAATGCTGGCATGTGACAGCTTGCCTCTATGGGGCGGAGATCGCTTCGGAGGTTTAGGGTTTAGGGTTGAGGGTTTAGGGTTTAGGGTTCAGGGACCTTGCTAACAGGCTCAGCAGTAGGTCCTTGTGGGGCCAGCATACGGCATTCCTTATCGAGACCGGACTCGAAGATGTGTTTCAGGGGGTTAACCCTAAACGCTAAACCCTAAACCCTACAACCTAAACCCTAGACCCTAAACCCTAAACCCTGCACCCTAAACCCTAGACCCCAGACCCCAGACCCTAGACCCTGCCTTTTGATTCCTAAACCCACTGAGACAGGCTTGGGTTGTATGGCCCCGTCTTGAAACCAAGAGGCGCTGCGTGGATTTAGGGTTTAGGGTTTAGGGTTCAGGGTTTAGGGTGTAGGGTTTAGGGTTTAGGGTTTAGGGTAATCACCGAGTCCCAATCAGGGTCGCTTTCTACCACTTTGTACCTATATGTGGTGCCATCAACCGTAAGTCCCATAAAGCCGGGAGACTGCACGCTGTGGTTGGGTTTAGGTTTTTTGGATTTAGGGTTTAGGGTTTAGGGTCTGAAGCTACAGGAAACCACCACGACGATCAGCACGACGACCACCACCACAACCAGCATCACCACGACTACGCAGAATGTCACTGGGATCCCTAAGGGTATAGGGTTTAGGGTTTAGGGTTTAGGGTTTCGGGTTTCGGGTTTAGGGTTTAGGGTTTATGGTTTAGGGTTTAGGGTTTGAAGTTTAGGGTTTCGGGTTTAGGGTTCAGGGCGATCCCTACATCCTGGGTTATGGAGCAAGGCTCAGGGCTTTCGTGGGTCGCAGTAGAGTACTTGGAAGCCCTTTTGACTCAGTAGGGTTTAGGGTTTAGGGTTTCGGGTTTAGGGTTTAGGGTTTAGGCTTTAGGGTTTGGGGTTTAGGGTTTGGGGTTTGGGGTTTAGGGTTTAGGATTTAAGGGACCAACCTGGTTTAGGGTTTTGGTGCCACAGTCGCGCGTGAGTGATTTTGGGGGGGCTGCAGAGAGTTATGGAGTGAGGCCCCGGAGCAGTTAGGGTTTGGGGTCTTATATACGGTTTAAGGTCTCTAGGGCCTCTCGTGAGGGTGTGGGGCTTTGACCTCTGACCTTGTCAATGTTGTTAATCTGAACAGTTTGGAAGCACAATTGGAAGCACACACACACACACACAATTGTCTCAAGAAGGGCTGCTGCAAAGTTGCAAAGTTAGCCCTTCTCCCGTAGACAGAAAAGCAGGCTGTCCCGGTGGGGCGAGGGAATCACTAACCCTAGGTAAAAGCCTAAACCCTAAATTCTGAACACGAACCCACCAAACCCCCCCCCCCCACACTGCACCCTGATCTCTGTTAGGTCCGACAGGCCTGGGGTTAGGAGATAGAATACGTCTTCCGCAGTGCTGTCACTGCACCCTATTTTTCCTAGTAGCTGAGTGAGCACACTTTACACTTTTTGGGATACTCTGATCCCCTATAGAAACGAAAGTGTACACTTTTTTGGGCTTCTGAACTCAGCAACTATATGAGTTTTTGGGACGCCCCCATATTGTGGTTACAGACCCTCGGAGACAGGCAAGTTTAGGCATCAACAAGGCATCTTCGATCTAAACCATGCCCCCCCCCCCTTTTTTCGGGCGCCCTCGGTCCTCGTGTTCAGGGTTTAGGGTCTGGGCTTTGGGGTTCAAGGTTTAGGGTTGAGGGTGTAGGGTTTAGGGTTTAGGGTTTAGGGTACGTATACTAGAGGCCAGAAAGGGTACGCGATTTTGATCTAAAACCGTGAGGCCCCGGCGAAAATGCCCTTATACACCCCGAAGCTGCACAACGTGTAACGACACCCTGCCGGTTGCAAGTCATACCCTAAACCCTAAACCCTAGACCCTGAACCCTGAACCCTAAACCTTAAACCCTAAACCCGAAACCCTAAACTCAGGAGCCTCCGGCTCATAAACCTCTCAACGCCCAAAGCTCAAAACTTCGTGGGGGGGGGGGGGGGGGGGGGGGGGGGGGGGGGGGGGGGGGGGGGGGGGGGGGGGGGGGGGGGGGGGTGGGGGGGGGGGGGGGAGGGAGGGGGGGGGGGGGGGGGGGGGGGGGGTGCGGTATTCGTTTGGTCCTGCATTTGTCACCCAAACCAACAGTACTAGCAAGCAAGGATAGCCATTGTCCAGCATCTATCTCTGCAAAGACAAAAGGGCGCGCTTTGGAAGCGGGTGAAGGGGTGAGGGACGTGCTAGTCTGAGCAGGTTGCTTTCCACCCTTCAAGGGCGGGTTCCTTCTTGAATCAACTATGGAGAGGGTGGGCGGGGTTGGTTGCGGGGGTTGGGGGGGGGGTGGGGGGGGGGGGTGGGGGGGGGGGTGGGGGGGGGGGTGGGGGGGGGTGGGGGGGGGGGGGGGGGGGGGTGGGTGGAAGGGGGTGCAAGTACAGAAGTGGGTCCAAGATCAGGGACTGGCAGGCAGGAAAGCTTGGCATCACTGAACAGGAAAAACCTTGTTTGGCATCTAAGTGGGTAGCGCCTTCAGCTTTCATCCTTCAACATTTTGCGAGGTCTACACGCCATTCAGCAGGTCGTGTTGAAATACCATGCTACCGAAGCCATGTGGTCTTTACTGGAGACCACCGGAGGGCGAACCTTCTGCTGCAAATTTCCAAGGGCATGCTCGAACCATCACTCGCCTCCTGGTTGTACACTTGCGTGCTTGCTGTTGGCTCCGGGTTCATTTCCTTGCTTCTCTGTGTGGGGATGGCTTGAGTGATAGGCTTCTTGGCACATGCCCAAGAAGCACTTTGGTGCCTCCAGAGCAAGGCTTCATGGAAGATTTTTGGTCTGCACTCAAGGTATTTGAATGGCCAAGGGCCCTAGGCCGAGCTCATCCGTTCTCCCTTGATGATGGATCGGGTTCGGGTGACCTGCTATGTCGCCGACCGTCGCTGGGAGGCGAACATGGATTTGCAGGCGTGGTTAAGCTCCATGACTGCCTGGCCGACCCTGACGATTTCACTGATTCTGACTGGCGGTGAAGCTCCTCTTCCAAAATATATCGTCCGCCATGCTCTTGCCGCGTGCGTGGCATTCTGGGTGCCTCAGTTGAATGGTGCAGGTTGGAGTACACATTTAAACTTAGTAG